TCCAAATTTGCCATTCTTTTTGGTTCTTTATCGTTCCTAACAATTTTCATAAGACCATCACCAAACTTCCATAGACACTCACTTTCTCGTCATAAGCACCTAATTGTCCCTCCTGAAATTTTCTTAGCTAGAAGTAGCATTCGGACTTTCCCGAGCTCTATTGAGGTACTTCGGATCCTTATACCGATGGTTGTGTCAGCTCATTTGACATAATGTTTAACAGAATAATGCTCCATTACCCTACGTTTCTACAATGGATATTTGGCATAAATCAAAAGGAGAGTTGACAGATATTTTGAATTTCAAACAATTAAAATAATATTACACATTTTTACTCTCTGAATAAAATTATCGATGCTTTCCGACAACTTATTGATTCTGAAAATCTTAGCCAGTTAAGGACTTTTAGCACTATATTGAAGCTCACTGCAATATAGCTATTTACATTGGTTCTATCAACATTTTTTTTTCATCTTGCATAATAACGTCGATTGAGTCAAGAACCATTCATCTGTAATGCGAGGGTAAACTTGATGTTGGTGCGTGTTAGTGATTTCATATTTTTTATCCTCAATGTTCCTATCCGAAATTTCGATGATCAACTTTGAGTGAATCACATTCTCAACACTTGCACAACTGTGCTTTCTAGTTCGCATTGTTCTTGTGGCTATGTTTGCTGCCACTCTGTACGCACGGCCCCATACGATTTCACTTCGGATCATCTAATCTACCCTGTACTTACATAATTTGTTAAAGTCACGTGCCTAATCGGTGGTATTTAAGCTAAAGTACACAGAAATAACATTGCGATGAAGCCTTGCTCTTCAGAGCTATTATACCCTTTAATTACAGTGGCCCAATAATGCCATCTGTATCCTACATTTTGGGCTACAAGGTTCTCCAAATTTGTCAAGATTGGTGAATTTTTCGACTGACAGTTGTCACTATCGGTGAACAGTGTCGATTTTCGCCGTCCCTAAAATCGATTTGGTTGCTTTTTAGAAGCAATTTTGATCTAATTTCATTACTACTTTTTAGGAAGCCCTAAGCATTCCGGCTAATGCGTTCGCACCACCGCCTTATTTTGCTCCCAAATCAGCGGAGGAGGCGAAGCCTAAGCCGCCGGCAACATCTGTCATCAATACTGCGGATGCCGCTGCAACTAGCGTTGCCAACGTCAATGACGGCGGGAAGGAGGATGAAAAACAGTGCTCCCCTTCAGGTCCTAGCATTGTCTGAAGCGGAACCCCTTGAACGGAGCGACGGATTTTCGCTTGTCTGGTTGTGTGCAAGCTGTCGGATGCACCCAACCACAAAATATCCCACTGTCTTCACTCTATGTCAACATTTCGTTCTCCACTACTGCTACTCTGTCGTAGATTCAAACTGCTGTTTTCTCCCCTTCATATGAACCTGATTTATGGAAGTCTATATGAGGACCGCAATAGGTGTGGTGGCCTGGTTTATTATTTTCTGTAGTTAATTTAAAGTCGCTGTTGCCACGCTCCTCATCTTCTTCAGGTCACTCTAAATGTGCTAAATTTGCACTTCTCCTCATTGTCTGTTGACAGTCGCGCTAATGCCGAGGATTTGGATTCATTTATTTCGAAGTTTTGTAAATCTAAGTCAACGCAATGCCTAAGGGGTGCTGCGTAATGCTTATCAAGGTGGGTATTTTTAAGCACGCTAAACTCATTATCGCAACAGTGATTAACAGCTACACGCTCTCCAGCTTCCATACTAGAACTCCTCACTGTCCTCGTTGGAATCGTCTTAATGGTAGGTATTCAGGTTATCAGCATATGTTACCAGGGCACGACGCCGAAACCTAGGTACATTTTCGGTCTACACCCCCAGCCAAGGCATTTGGTTTGCCATTGAGTATGCCAATTATGCGTTTAAGCGAAGGAGGGTGACAGAATCCTCCATATGCTATTGTCCGGAATATTTGTTCATTAGTGAAAGAGAGAAAACAGTCGCTGAGTGATAACAGTCGCTCCATCATGTGACGAGACTATGTTCGATTATCCTGTGTGGTTAGGGCGACAAAGGCAATCGGCTTACCTTCTCAAA